CTTTTCAATAAAAGAAAAATAATATATCATACTGTAATAAATATAATGCAATATATTTGTCAGTTGGAATAATAAAGATCCAGTCCATTGCCTTAAGGTCATTTGTTTACTTTATTAGACTTCCTTAAAAGAAACCAAAACAGAAGAAAAAACAGCATAAGGACAACTGATTTTATCACTCTGTGGAACACAGTGTTTTTTTGCCCCTGACAAATCCAAATTGAGTTCAGCTTTCTTTTGCAGCAATGGCACCAGGGAACTGCAGACATCCTCCACCAACTACCAAGTTACCTGTTTGCATCAGCAGGGTGAGACTCCACCGCAATACACAGCGCTGGGGCAGTAACGTCAGGCATACAAATGGCAATGAAAGATTACAAGGCCAATTCTTATGACTACCCAAAGCAGACTATGACTTGAGAAATCACAGCTTGTGTATACTCGAAAGAAAAGCCATCTTTCTGGAGCCATAGGCTGTCTTACCAGCGTCCATCAAATTTTGTACTGTAGATTCATTCAATAGTGATGTTTTCTTTCATTGTGACATTTTGTACATGTGAAAACAGTTATTTCACTACTGCCACAATATGTTTCTTCCTCTCTGACACAAATGGCACAGATCCTGGTTTGCTGTGCTTACGACGATTCAGTTCCCTAAAGAACAAAAAAACAGAAAAATGAAGTTCAGTAGTCAGCACAAAGATTTAACAAATACTAGCTTCCTTCTTCAGCTACTAATAGAGATACTCTGCAATTAAAAAAAAAAATGTATGAATTGCTCTTCTTTTATTAATCAAAAGCCATGTACTTCCTCTTTGAGAAGGACTGTCCCTCTGAAACAACTTTAAAATTGGCTAATTTAGAAAAGTTTCAAATTGAGCCTTTTCTTGGGAGCTCAGCTTACTTGGTTCTCATGTCAACAGGATTTGCTGCTCAAGTCTGTAGAGTCTTTCAGCTGAGAAAGACGACTAAACCCCACCACTTTTTTGTTTTACTGTTAATTTAATGGCTACAGCAAAGTATGCCACTTTCTGTTCCTAGAAATTCCAATATAGTAATGATCCAGGTGACTGAAAACACTCATCCTGGAGTCTGGCATTAAAAAAAGAAATAAAATACCTCAAAAAAACCCTAACAAACAAACAAACAAAACCCCAAACACCAACAAAGCAAAAAAACCCCTCCTCACGCCCAAAATGGGTCATTTTGTTTCCATTGCCATGTTGCATCACACCATGCTTAACAGAGCACTGTGGCTCCTTCCAGCATGGTATTCCCTCCCTTTTCTTCAGTGAACTTTTGGGAAGCAGCCAGTCCTCACTGATACTGGCACTTGTCTGCATCTTCCTTATAATCAAAGGTTAATCAATCCAGTAGTTCATGATCACTTATTCAGATGATAGAAGTAGCTCATACTTGTTCCTCCGACACACTGTAGCTCTATCACTGCCATGCATTGCTGCTACAGCACTACAGTGATGCATTTCATTAAGGTCAAGAGAAAATAAAGCCAGAAGAGGAAGACATACTTTCGCCGACGAGCTTCTCTCATGATACGCAGCTCCTTGATTTGGCAATATATACTTTTAGGCAAGTGACGGTGTTGAGCTATGCGTCTGATCTTTGGGTGATACTGGAACTTCTCCTTCAGCTTCTGATTGTAATTCATAGCTGCCTTTTCTCGTGGTGCAAGCTATGGGGAAAACAACAGAGACAAGCATGTTACAAAAGAACAGGGATTTAAGTGTCACGATTTTCACTACAAAACAAAATTTAAGCTTTTTACTCACATGGCCTCCTTCTAGTAAATGGCTGTAAGCACAGAAACTTCAGAATTAGTGTAGCTAAGTATTAAAAACTTACAATTTCAACAACACCCCAATGCTCAAACACAAAACATTGTCACAGTTTCAAAGCTCAGTGAAGTAACTGAATTTACTCCCTGAAAATCAGATTTTAATGTGTTGTAGAAAAAGAAGACTAGAAATAGCTGACAGTAAAACCTCTTTGATCAGTCTGCATGCTTTCCTAACCTCCGATGATGATCAGCTATTGCTGTGAAACAAAGAAACAAAGATTTGCAGGCATTTTAATCACTAGCCAGTGCAAGTACAAATGCTATAAATGAATTGTCTCTATGAACAGCTTTACAGACAGCTTTTTAGATGGCCTAAATCTTATCCAGCACCTTGATCCATTAGGAAGCACAGTGTACATAGCACATTTCAAGTATCAGCTTGACTATATGGCACACAGGGAGTTCCAACTTTCATCACGCAGCTAAAAATATCTTAGTATCACAAGCACATGAAATACAGGTGAGCTAGTATTACCACAAAAGACTTTAATTATATTTGTGTTTAAAACTGTGTCTAAGCCACCATTAACAACACTGAAAGCGAGAAATTCTTTCTCCCGACAGCTAGCCTACAGAGCACTTTTTTTTAACTAGGCATGTTTCCTTAGTCTAATGCTTATTTATCAAAAGGAAAAGATCTCTTTGTGCTGTGGTTTCATTCAGAGCATGCACTGCTTCCCAAGGAATATCAGTTTCTATGTATTTTGTATTTGCTCAGATCTCTGGGAATTTCATCTGCATTTCAGTCTAGTGAGCTTCCAAATAAACAGAAAATCCATTAATATTTAAGAGAAGATAATCCTACCCTTTTCTTCCTATCCTTCCTCCCAAAATACACTCTGTAACTAATATTTCAGGCATCTAAAAACCCTTCATATTCTCAAGCAAGCAGTGGCACAAGTCTTTTGCCCTCCCACATTTATTTCATCCACTTCCACCTGCACCTAAAGTATTAAAAGAAAACCAATAGTTCAGAGATCTTCTATTTATTTTAGCTTTGCAAATCACTGTTTCAGTAATTTCTTAATATCTCAACAATAAATAGAACCTGAGTTTCAGACACTACCAAACAAAAAGCAGTAACAAAACCAACAACTTTATTACACACAAAAATTTGGAAATTCCACCTCCATTATTACAAAACATGCTTTTTTCCCCTTTGAAATCAGCAATTAGCTATTTCTTCTCCACTCTGGAGCTCACTTTTAGAAGTGACTTCTGTCAGAATATTTCATAAATTCTGAAAAAAGATATCATACTCAGATAATTTTGATCCAAAATACCATTAATGGTCTGAAAGCAAGTCTTAATAAAACATATGACAAAGCAGTTTCTCCTTTGGGACAATAAAGAAACCCGGTACCAGATGCAGAGTTGCTCACCGCTCATAAAATTCTTATTCAGGCGTCAGAGACACATAATACTCTCAACCTGTTTCTCCACACCCTCTTCTTCATAAAAACAAATCCTTCTGCTTTACTTAATGACCTCTCAAATTGCGAGTAAATTTTAGTTTTAACCCACTAAAACCACCCTGCTCCCCCAACCCTTTACTGAAATTCCTTCTAGTGAGCCAGCCTGAATAGCTGGTTCACTTTCAATAAATCCCAGGTGTTCCCACTCTGCAGAAAACTGCCAACATAATCCAAATTAAAAAGTTTTTCTTTTAATTAAATGCAATCATTTTCCTTTAATTTAAGAAGAGCAAATTGCTGCCGATACAGTATAACCTTGATGATTCTACAGACAAGAGGTGAATCTGTAAATTAAAGATACATCCAGGATATCTTATTTAAAAACTAATACAGATTAAGCGGTGGTTATGTTTGAGTCTGATTCCGTTTTTATGTGTAAGGTGGTATATAGCTGGTGACTTCCCGTCCAACTACCGAATGCCAACGCCCCATAAACCAGACTGTGCGAAGTGCACTCTTATCTACATGATTAAAGAAAATTTTGCAGTAATGACAAGTTTCTGCCTCTTTATGAGAGATAGTAGATAGCTAAGAAAGCAGACTGCAATAATGCACTGAATTCCAATCTCTCTCTTTCAAGTCATTTTACAAAGGTCAATGTAAACAGCTGAAGAGAACAGCGTTACTTCCCGTTCTGCTCTGAGCTGGAGATGCTGTAGGTGCACCATGACTTAGCAGGATTACAGATTTTGTTTACAGGGACTAGAACACTCTACAATGTAATAAAATAGGATTTATACAACATCATGAGTGGAAGACACACTTAGAGAGGACATATGACCCTTTTTTCACACATTCCAAAAGTGAATGTGCAACTTCCTTCCCATATGAGGAAAACAGAAATTACGTGGCAGAAAGACAGCCGGTATGTGCCATTACTGCAGCAGTACTTCACAGCAAATACGTAGAGTGAAAAAGGGGGAAAAAAGAACTCTAAAATGCAACGAAGTTATCAGCAATAGGAAAATGTGTCCTCAAGTAAACTGCCTACGCCTCTTTCCTCCCTCCAAATGATAGCAGCTGGTTATTTTTCCCATTTAAACAGAAGGAAGGTAAACATTTCTCTGGGGCCCTGACTGCAGAGCTAAAACCACCTTTAACAAAAAATTCTCCTTTTAAAGAGGGCTGTATTTGTACTGTGCAGTATTTAAAACTGCACACTATTAGACTCCTGTAACTCAGCATGAGAAGATGAAATGGCTGTTTATCTATCCTATCCAGGTTGCCCTTCTAGGTTAGGGCAGACTGAGAACAGGTACAACATATTTTTAGAATGCAAATGTAACCCAGCAATTTTCTACACCACAACTTGTCTTTATTTTTTTTTTCCATTGCTCTGGTGCAAATACCTTTCTAAATTTATTGCCTTAAAGTTTATTAGTCATTGTTTCCTTGGACCAAAAACTTCTTTATATCTAAATGGATGACAAAAAAAAGAATGGTAATGTAGATGTAGAGCACAAAACCATAGCTCAAGGGATGAAGCTACATGTGCACTGAATCACAAACCCAAAGTCACTAGAAAAAGAGTCCCACATCACACAATATCTGGTACTGCCTTATCTCACAAAATGGAACTGTATACTAGAAGCAGACTGAAACAATACACAATCACTTAAGACAGTTTTGATGCGCTCCTGCTAATGCACTTTGCTAGATCAAAACCAAGACTTGTAATTCCACTTTCTCCAATCTTTTTCAGTCCTTACTCAAAAGCTTTTATTTCTGCATCTTTTAAGAAAGCAGCAAACCTATGCTCTACTGCAGTTACACTCCTCACACTAGTTTTACACGTACTGAAATATAAATCATTCCAAGCAGAAAGTTTTCTTTTTCAGTGGTCCAGTGCTCTGTTCCATTTCTTAACTACTCTGGAAACATAACAGAGCCAAATTTTGCAGCTGTTACTCACAGAAGTAATATTACTTAGCATTTACACTCTAAGAACTGCAGATTTTTTCTAATGTGTCAATAGACTGAAGAACAATACAGCTTTTTGAAGTTTTACTGATGGTTCATTGCTTTCACTACAATTCAAAAAACCCAATCTATCCCTTTCTTTGTATTAATTAGATTAATTCTATTTTATTAACTGAAACCTACTCTATTACTGCTGCTCTTCTAGCCTTTTCACTCAGATGAGGCTCTATTTTCCTCTTTTCCTCAAAAGCCGAAGTCATTTACCTTGTCAGAAATCCCAGACCTCTCCAAGAGCACAGGTACAAAAGCCTCAACCACACTTCACATGACATATTTTATGTCCAGTATTTGAACAGTCTGGGGTACCTCAAAATTATCATCTATTTGGGTCTTTTACTTCTGGACATGCAAAGATAGATGTTTACTGCTTTAAAAGTAAAACCTGTTAAGTCCTATTTAATCAACTGTTACTAAAAAAAATAAACACTGCAAATTCTTTTAAAGCAACTTCTGCAGTAGTTCCAACAGAGAGATCTGGGGTTTGTTACCGCTATGCAAAACCCATGCAGGCTTAATTGTCAGTGGAGTGGAGACACAGCTTGCCTCTGGCTTCTCCAGAGACTTTTATACTTGCTTTAATGTTTCACTGATTTTAAATAATGAGTACGATGCCAGATACATTAAAAAACAAAATAAACATGCATGTCAGAACTGACGACTGCTAGAGTAGCCACAGTTCAGAAAGTACAACTTTCCAACTGGATAAACGTTCATCAGTTGCAACATAAGTACTATATATTCACTGCAACTTCCTTGGAACCCAGCAATGCTAAAAGCAAGTAAGACCAAGTACTCACCAAGGGGAAAAAAAAAAAATGTTCGATAATCATTTTTCTTTCTCTTTCAGTAGGTTGGTTTCCATCCACTCTCACCCCAAAAATATCCATCTTAAAATACAATGTATTGAAAGATGTTAGCATTATATCAGAAATACAGTGACCTTCGGATGAGTCACTCAATCAAATCTTCTCAGCAAACAGCAGACCAAGCAACTAAGCATTTAAGACATATTCTGACACTTCCGACAGAATTACTGAATGTTCAGCTTTGAATATTCAAAATGTTCAAAAAATAGCCACAGACTATGGAGGAACTGGACATTTATAAAATGAGCAAGCATATGTCTATGAAGATAAGAACACCACTCCTCTAAAAAAGAAGTAGCAGGTACTAAAAAGCCACAGTGGAGCCTCATAAATGGCCATTAGCAGTTGCAACATTAAGAATCACAGGAACTACCAGGTCAGTTTGAACAAGGATTGGTACAGTTGCCTGAATCCAAGTAACATTTCCAAGCTACATCCAAAAACATGATAAGCCATAAAGATCCCACTCATAAGTTCTATTAGCAACCACTACTCTCTAAATATCTGAAATATAAAATTTCATAGTGCTTCTAAAAAAAAATAAATTTAACAACAACTACAAAAACTTCGAACAGTTACTAGTTCAATGTTCAAGTTCTGTGCCTTGCTAAACTGAAGGCTTCGAACAGCATCACGGCTTGAATACATTTCCTCACAAGACAGAGGGATGTGAAACATTATCTCCTGTTCTTATAACAGAATTCTTCACAAGTTCATTAGCATCATCCCTGTGAAATGAGAGCAGTTTTTCTAGATAATTCACTATGTCCCTTGTAAATTCTTCCTGTATTTCTAAATTCTTTTGCTTTCTTAAGATGTCATCCTATCTTAAAAAAAAACCACCTTGCAACATCAAAAGACAAGTTTTGTATTCTAAATGACGAGATGACTTTCACTTCTGATAGTTAAAAAACCCCACAACCAAAACCAACAAACAAACAAAAAAAATCAAACAAAAAACAATGCCACTTGACCTGTGTGTCACAGATAGCTATTGACTTAGTTCTCCTGGAGCCGACAGTTGAAGACCTTTACCAGAAATGCCTACAAACCCTTACAGGCATGCATGCTACAAAAGCTGCATTTGTATGATCCCACAACAGCAGAACTGAATCATATGCACAGCCTCCAAGAGGCACGTCAAGCAGCAACAATGTACTTACAGACAGAAAAAAAAGGACGAGCTATTTTATGCTGGATTCACTGTCAAGTCAAGAACACAAGGGTATTAATGTACAATGTCCAATACCTGCTAGTCAGAATTGGTACTGCCCTTTTTAGGCACATCTGTTGCATTTTTCACTGATGCAAATACCACAGAAAATAGCAGAATGTCATTTACCACTCTACATTCTGAATACCTGAACAATAACGAAGTTGTCTTTTTGGCACGCAGTATTTCTACGACGCAGGAGTAGCTGAGTTTGCCTATTACTTCCCTGAACAAAGTATCCTTACTCTTTTCGTAAGATAAGGAGCCAATGCCATCTGGTAGTCAGAGTGAATTTTCTGTTCACACTTGAAAATATTAGGAATCACTCTATATGCAAATGGTATTTTCAACATTCTTTTTACCCACTTGTTCTTCATATAAAGGGTACAAACTAAAGATGCATGTCAAAAATACCACACAATTCAGTTATAGAACATCTTAGAGAGTGACAGCATACTCTCTTCATTAAGAATATAGTGAATAAAGAGAGAAAATTTCAGTTAATAGTGTAAAACCAGGCAAAATGGGCATTTCCACGAGCATATATATACAATAGGAAAACAGGCGATATTTCTGGCCAACACTGCACTGTCTAAGCAAATTCAACATAAAAGCTAAATCAAAAAATAAAGTCTATAATGAGCTTTGCTGAGCCCTTGGAATTTGAAAGTATAGGACTGATATCTGAATGTTTGACTGAAGTACCACACGGGCAAATCCAAGAATCAATTCAGAACACAAAAAAAACCAAACAGCATCCTCAATAAAAAAGAAGAATTATTCCATTAAAGAAATTCATCTTAAAACAGTAGTTTGTAACTACAAATACTGCGCAGGCTACAAAGTTGGCGGGGGAGGGTGGTGGTTAACCTCTAGCCCTATAGCAAAGATAAGAAAAATAACAGGACTTCCAAATACCTATGGTGGGCCATGGCTAAAAGTATACATGTTGGTTTACCATAGAATCATAGAATGGTAAGGGCTGGAAGCGACATTATAGATCATCTAGTCCCAACCCCCCTGCCATGGGCAGGGACACCTTCCACTAGACCAGGCTGCTCAAAGCCCCATCCAGCCTGGACTTGAACACTTCCAGGGAGGGGCATCCACAGCTTCTACAGGCAACCTGTTCCAGTGCCTCACCACCCTCACAGCAAAGAATTTCTTCCTTATATCTAATCTAAATCTGCCCTATTTCAGTTTAAAGCCATTACCCCTGGTCCTGTTGCAACAGACCATGCCAAAAAACCTGTCCCCATCTTTCCTGCAGGCCCCCTTTCAGGTACTGGAAGGCTGCTACAAGGTCTCCCTGGAGCCTTCTCTTCTGCAGGCTGAACAGCCCCAACTCTCTCAGCCTTTCCCCACAGGAGAGGTGCTCCAGCCCTTGGAACAGTTTGGTGGCCTCCTCTGGACCCGCTCAACACATCCATGTCTCTTCTGTGCTGAGGGCTCCAGAGCTGGATGCAGGACTCCAGGTGGGCTCTCACTAGAGCGGAGCAGAGGGGCAGAATCCCCTCCCTTGACCTGCTGGCCACGGTGCTTTGGATGCAGCCCAGGATACAATTGGCCTTTTGGGCTGTGAGCACGCATTGCCGGGTCATGTTGAGCTTCTTATCATCCAGAATCCCCAAGTCCTTCTCCTCAGGGCTGCTCTCAATGCATTCTCCACCCACCCTCTATTTGTGCTTGGCATTGCCCCCGCCCATGTGCAGGACCTTGCACTTGGCCTTGTTGAACTTCTTGAGGTTCACACAGGCTCACCCCTCAAGCCTGTCAAGGTCCCTCTGGATGGCATCCCTTCCCTCCAGCATGTCGACCACACTGCACAGCTTGGTGTTGTCAGCAAACTTGCTAGGGTGCACTCGATCTCACTGTCCACATTGCCAACAAAGATGTTAAACAGCGCCAGTCCCAATACAGAGCCCTGAGGAACACCACTCATCACTGGTCTCCACAGGAACCTCCTGAGGAACACACTGGTCTTTTAGCTGTACTACTCCATATCCAGCACTTCACAGTGCACAGTCGTCCATGAATTATCCCATTCTGCATTGCAGCCCTAACTACTCCTAACACTCCCATTCATCTGCCACCTTTCTCAGCTCTGCTCCGCTTCCCTCCTATAGAGATATTATCACTTGATGGAGCGTCAGGTAACCACAAGCAGCACTAGACATAACTATGCAATAGATCCATCCCCTTAACTGCACAACATTCTTCCCTGAATTACAGCTTCCCTTTCCTCTCCCCTCAGTCTTTCACAACATCAAGCAGAAATTCTCTCAAGCATTATTTGACAGCTCTGCTGATGGGCTCAAAGAGCAATGTAAGCACCTCCAAAATACCCTAACAATATAAAGCGATGTAAAGGGATTAATCCCAGTGGACGAAGTGTCAAATTCATTCTCCAAAGGCATTGAATACTTTAATACAACTGTGCAGATGAATATATGCAAGTGGTAACTGTAATAGAACATTTTGGCTGTGTCTATACACAAACATTGGAAGAAGCGTAACTGAAAAGACACGTTATCTAATTAGCCCGATGTCTGGTCCTACTAGCAACACTTCAACCAAACTGACTTAAGTTGAATTAAATGGACTCCAGACACCACAGTAGTCAGCCCACTTGGTATCCAAGAGTTATACAGATTAATGACAATCTCAGTTATGCATTGGAGCAAATGGTCTATCTTACAATGCATATGCTTATCACAGTATGAAATGCACATGAACTGATCGCATGCCAGTCAAAATTTTTAAAAGCAGTAACCCTAAGCTTCAGTATCACAGAATCACAGAATGGTAGGGGTTGGAAGGGACCTCTGTGGGTCATACATACGTATGTAGAATGACTTACATAAGGCAAACCAGAATTTATGGCTTTTTCTCTCGTGCAGAAGGATGAATTCTCACCTGTAGCACCCAGGTAAAAAAACTCTAATCTAGTTCAGTTAGAACTGATGATTATTGTTAACATTAAACAAGACCAAAAAAAAAAGTCACCTTGTGTAGCAATAACGAGGCATGTAATTTTATTATTACTGTAAGTTGCAGTAAATGCAATGAGCTATACTGTGCATGTCAGTTTTTAATTTAAATACAAATATCAAACTATCGTTTTTAATTTTCCCTTTAGAAACAAGTTTTTAGAAGCTGAATAGGCTAACCAATTGTAGTAACAATAAAGAAACCCCAAACATCTTGCCTTGTGACAACAAAAAGCAAAATGAACTCTTACCACTCCCAGTTTTTCAGAAGCATTAGCTTTCCACAGACGAATATTCATCTCATCTGAGCCGCACAGAATGTATTTGTTATCTGAAGTCCATTTTACAGTGATGACATGCTGCATTCGCTTTGTATGATACACTTCCCTACAGCAAAGAGAAAGTGTTAATATCCACTTCTTTGGTATACCAGTTACGCATTGCAGCATACAGATCATTTTTTTTTTCTTCCTTCCAGTTATTTTAACAAGTAAAATCCAAGCGGTAATGGAGAGGAAATATAGAAACAACACCTATTCAAGAGCTGTGGAAAAACTAGACTGGGGTTGAGCTGGAGGGATTGTGAGAAAAACAAAAGTAATCGATATACCACCTTATATAAGCTTAAAGAAGCTTAACCACCTCTTGTAATTCACACTCAAGTGATGCTCTACAAGAACAATGCGTGGAAGACGCAGCACAAGTACCCTCTTATGTTAAGAAAACATTAATAGTCACATCAGCTTTTGACTGATATTGATATTTAACAGCAAGTGTGCACGTACGCGTTTTCATCAGCATTCTTATGTTTACTTTTATTTTATTATTTGGCTCAGTAACAAACCTTTTCTTCCCCCACCTTTCGGGAACTAAGGACTTTTCCTTTCCTCACTCTGAATTTTCAGCTTTTACCTCTCCTGTTGCTGTCAGCACAAGTTATTAAATATCATTCTCAGCGAAAGGAAAAACATAACACATAGCCAAATTATCTAGATCTGTCACTTTAAAAATTCGCACAGACATCCAGTTCTGTTTTCCAAGAATTTACTAAATTTAATCAACTTTATAATAAATCTTCTTTCTTATGGCTAATCAGCTTCCTAATCTCAACCTTCATTTTAAAATAAAATAGAAAGCAATGGAAGTTAGGAGTTATTCAGACGTCTGGGAGATCAAAAGTCAAAACTAGAATATCGTCGAGACCCTTGTTTACAGATACTCTTAACCATCCCCTCATTTTTCCAAGTGGGATCAGATCTTCCATTTGGAGACTTTTCTCTATTCCATGGGATTCATTTCAACTGCGCAATTCTGAAAAAGCCCAAGTTCTAAAGAATTTTAAGTGTCCCGGAATGCCCTAGTCAGCTTATCTGAGGCTAAGTTCTTCATTTGTAAGGCTCTTCCTCACAAGATTTATGGTTACCACACAGCAGCAGAAAAAAGGGGGAACACAGAAGAAAATTCCACCCACAGGCCTTGCCATCAATCAAAATAAGGTGGAATAAAGTTTTACTGCTGCATTATGGGGTCTGAAAACTTCCCCTCAATGATGTGCTTTAACTTTGCATATCACCACTTCTGTGAACGTTACTATTACATAGAAAGGAAAATCTGTAGAACACAAGAGCTGCTTAATAACACAAAAATTTAAAAAAAGCCACCACAAAGGACCTGCAATACCTAATTACACTTAAAATATTATTGCAAGACAGAAGAAAATGAAAACTACTTGTAGATCAGTTATAAAGGAAAATGTAAACAGCCCCTCTCAATCTTTAATGCAGCATAGGAGCATACAGTTATGTTAAATAATGCATGCATAGCTGCATCAATCAAAAATAAAAATATACTCCTCCCCTCATCAATATTTCAACATTTCCACCTCACAAACCACCCAGAACTTGACCTAACAGTAACTTTTTGGGGGGCTGAGGTTGCACAGCAGAAGGTAACTAAAAGTAAAATAAAGGATAAAGAAAAAACAGGAAAGATTGACAACAGAGAATAATGAAAGTAGGTTTATGAAGAACAAATGATACCAGATAGATCTGATAACTTGCTTCAATTTTCACCAAATTGAAAAAAAAATAATAATAATAATGGAAACACAGAAGATCCAGTCTGAAACTTCAGCAAAAAATTTAATACACTGCCTCACGAAATCTTACACGAAAAAATAATTCAGAGTGAATTGTATTCAAAGTATTGTCACATGAACCAAAACCTGGTTGACAAAACATGAACAAAAGGTAATAAGCGTACTGAAACAGATTACAAAAGTGTCCCAGACTGATCCTCAGAACTCATACAACAATGCTTTTCACGTAACGTCTTTAGCAATCATCCATACAGGATGAAGACAGCCCCTAGAAAACCAAGCGCTACAATGTTGTAAGGCACTGCAAACTTAAATGGTGACAGATACAGTACAAAGTGACCTAAAAACATTAAAGATACACATAGCAGGAAATAACATGCAATTCATCATGGTAGAATACAAGTAAGTACAACCCAAGAACAATAATCCACTGTAATTTTAATCCAAAACTGCCGAAGTACTGCTGTCCATTAAGTAGAAGTTCTACTCTAGTACATACTCCAAAATTATCTGTCAACTACACGACCTGCCAATCTGAAGTTATACACGAAATAAGATTTCAATATTCACAGAACGTGAACGCCTCACTGAAGCTGCTAATGAATGAGTTAAGAATTTTGAGGACTAGGGAGGGAGGTTACTGGAATAAACGACAGCAGGAGAGAAAGGAGTAAAATCACTCACCTGCTGTGACCTTTGTCTACAGGAAATATGCGGACAGACTTATCAAAGCTGGCAGAGACAAATTCTTTCCCAGTGGGTGAATAATCCACATCAAGAACAGCAGACACGTGATCCATATGCACCATCACAGGTGATTCAAGAAAACGCATATCGAAAGTATATAAGCTTTAAAATAAATACAACAGCTTAACATCTTAACAACTCCAAAGTAAATAGTGCATTTTTGCTGAACAGCTACATTAATCATACATAAACCATACTTAAGGACAGATCCATATTGCAGAGGGAACTCTTTAAAACTGCTCACAATACACAAAAAGAAGGAACAATGCATAGTTTAGGGCTTGGAAAGCGTTTATTAACCAGAGCTTTAGTTATTGGATCAGACCTAGATTTCTTGCTCACTGTTAAAGAACAGATAATGTCCACTATTTCCTTCACTATCTGTTCAGGGGTCACTGACCAAACGTAATTCTCCAACCACCACACTGTCCTCCTTTACTCCATCTTCAGATATAACTACATAACCTGAACTCAGACAAGCATCTCTGACTCATTATGGCAAGCCTATCAACTCTGCAAGGTTTCTAGATACTCCCATACTGGGAACTCCTAGTAACTCAGAGTCCCATTTGGCTGGCACCCTCTCCTACTGCCTAATTGTCTTTCGGCCAGACAACGCAGGAGCCCAAGGAAAGCTTGGTCCTTCAATACATCGAGATACTAGTTCAGCAGAGCACACTATTTGTAGAAAAGCATTACATTAAAAATGAACACACAGCTGCTGGACCACAGCTGATTTGATCTTAAGCACTTCAAAGCTCAGGTGAGGTCTACCCATACTGCCCTTGAATCAACAAGCCCACTGATACATAGCAAGGCATAATAACTGAACAGACCATTAATTTGCCTAGTGCCAATAAGCAAAGGTGCTTTAATGAAGTCTGCTTAAGATACACTATTTAATAGAACTACTATATTAAAAACTTCTAATTTAGCAGGTTTCTCACCTTCTTTGATGGAGATGAATGCATAACTAATTAATTCAATGTCTCTTGACTCAACAGTTTACTAGCAACTATTGCTTTTTCCTTCTAAATTCCCCAAGAAAGAGTATGCTAGCATCATATTCAAAACCGCTACTTCATATAATCAGATAATGTCTGCATGTGCATTGTTGATATAAGCATTTTCCACTGCACTCATACTAATTGCTTTAGTTTGCAAGAGGACAGGACAGTTGCCCCTGACAGTAACAGCTACCATTTTTAGTTCAGCAAGGGGGGTGTGTGGAAAGAGATGTATAAACAAACAGATTAGGTAGCCTGGTAGCCTTACCATACCATAATCAAAATAGGTGAAAAGCAGTACATTAAATACAACACTCACTTTCAAGGTCTGGGCCAGATTCCATTTCCTTGGAAAAGCAGCCTTAAGATAAGTGATAAAATTCCTATGTTCTAGAAGAAAACAGTGATCTATTGTTAGATCACTGATTTCCTGGAAAAAAGGATATGGAGCACATTTTGCCATGGCCTAGTTTTGAAGGGACAGCTTCTTCAGTATCAGATTAGCTGTTCACATGAATAGCATTGTTCGAAAGTAAAAAACAACTGCTCTGAGACATTGAAAGGATAAGTATTGCAGTCACTGGAACTGTTCCAGAAAAGAATTATTTTTTTTTTTTAAAGAAATGTTCTGATCAAAACAGCTGATCAGTACAATATATCAAGCTTCACAAGAGGTAGCAAGAAAATAAACACTTATATTGCCTCAGACTGGACTAACAGTATTTATTTTGCAGGTCCCATTGCAAGTGACACTTACATTGGTTCAGCTGCATTTTTTTTTTAAGTTACACTGTTCCCCTCCCCCCAGGTATTAAAACACACAGAGAGGCAGTCTACTATCAAGTCTGTCTTGTGGCTTGGTTTGTTGTGATTTTTTTTTTAAATCAGTGAGCCTTTAATTCTCTAGGTTATTACTTCCATGATTCAAATTTAGAGTTTAAGTAGTTTTGTGAAAACATGTTTTAGCATGATGATAAATTACCAGGATACAGTTTAAAAACATAACATGATCAGGATTATGAAAAAGCAAGGTCACACTTACTTGTAATCTTCATTTGCTGCAGTAAAAATGAAAGCTTCCATGGGGTTCCAACACAGTGTATTTGTCCTCATGTTCAAGATAACCTGAAAGATATTTACTCATTGCTACCTTGTTATAGGCAGTAAAATACTCACTACAGTTCAAAGCTTCCTGTACCACTAGAGACAAGCACTTTCTAGATATGGAATTATGGCAGAAGAATAGTGACATGACAGAATGCTTCCTTAGCACCGTTCGAATTGGAACTCAAGAACTTCTTGTCCCTCATCATATGCTCACTGCTGTCTGCTACACTGCAATTAAATTTTTGCCTGTAAGTCATCTTAGAAGGAAATTCTTCTAAGTGGTCATTTAACATGTAAAGCATGTAAACATGTTAGTGGTCAACATGTAAACCTGGAGCTTCTGAGAAAGTTCACTTCTCCATCATACTTACAGGAACCTTTACTTAACTAATCTATAAACACACCTAACTAAATCCTTATTTCAAAGGATATAGTCATTATCTGATGCTGTGAACCAGCATTTGTAAAGCGATTATAACATGTTGATGTTCTCCCAGTTACTACTATCCCTTCATTACTTCCTCTCTGAAATTGCAGTTCATGAGTTCTCCAAGACAGCTGCCATTTCCTGTTGAAGTGCCAAGCAACATGTGCAGAAGTTACTGTGTTGTGATCTACTTACCACCATCACTGCATTAGCAGTCAATCAGTTGCTACGCATTCATACGAGCTGCTTGCTGCTAGTAAGCAGATGGCTACAACGAAGCCAGTTTGCCTTGAAGTGGGAGGAAGGGAGCTGATGACAGCCTAATAAGACCCTACTACTTTGCTAACAGCGGATTAGACAAGAGGTATTAAGAAGCTGTATGTAAAATGTCCCCAACTTGGAGGACAGCTGTGGCAGTAACAGCTGGGTGCCTGTGGGAGAAGGGGAGGCAGGGAGGGGGTCATCTGACAGCCGGTACAGCACAACAGCTTTGGCTTCTGCCGAGTCTTGCAGGAGCTTTCAACTTGTGTATTTAAAAATAAATCCCATACAATATGCCTGACACAAAGCAGTGTATAATTACAGAGCAACTTATTAACAAACTCAACAACTCTAAACAGGATTTTCCAAAATGCTCCTGGCAAACCATAATCCTCCCTGAAAATCCTGAAATTCGGATGTTTAATGCTATGGTACTCCAAACTCCTTTTTGTTCTCAGCTTGCTATACCAAACACTATGAACATACATACATATAACAATTATAACTTTTACAATACTGAACACAACCTCAAAGCAAGTTAATAGTGATGATCTCTACTGGATGCCCCCCCTGCTCAAAGATTATGATTTTATGAATGTGTGCATATTCTCATATTCTCATGATTCTCACTCCCTGTAAGTCCTCATTTTCCTAGGTGACACTATCCTCTTCTATCTGAAGACTGTGCTGCAAAATACTGCTCATTTTCAGAAATTACATGCATCCAGAACAGAATGTAATCATTAGATGTCTAAAGTGCTCTCTACTTTAAAAAGCAACTTTACTGAAAGGATAGGCCACTGAAAGGCCCTATGTTTACAGTAACGCAACTACAATTTGTTCAGATTTCAGTATTGTTCCTCTAGTTATAAACCTCACACTTATCTGGGAAGCTAATAATTAAGGAGAGTTCTTTATTCCTCCCTGTCCAAGCTTTTCAGCCACTGCAAATACAGTACACAATTAATGTTAACACATTATATGTATAATAAATATTTTAAATCATGCCACAAATTAACCCTAATATTGCTGGAAAATCCAGTTCTTTTTCAAAAGGGGTCACGTTTGGTCAAAGTCCATGCTCTGCATCTTTCTTCACTATTTTTCCACCCAAACTTATAAGCATTCAGTTTATTTCAGCAGTGGCATTTGAATTAAAGTAGTGCCTAAGGAAAGCACTCTCTGTAAAGTTCCAGCATTACATTCAGTAACAGCTATGCAAGGCACCCTGGGCAGGAAGTGATTTAAGTTGCTGTAAATACGTTAATAATGGCATTTCAGAACTATCTAAACCTGTAGCAGAGCCACCTTCTGACACTATTTTTTAATCAATTTTAGATACACTGAGTCATTCCATAAGAATGACCTTATTAAGACAAGTCAAAATTGTGAAGCCCCTGAAGACTTGGCTATCTTAGTTTATCTATTTTAACTGCGAGCACTTGCTTACAAAGAATGTCAGCCTGGAGATTTTGAGATTACTTTAACACAAAGCCAGATCGCCCAAATAATTAATCTGTCCTCTTTTACTACCTACGAGGTATTTGGCTGAGGTGAACAGCTAAGAACAAGCAACAGACAACACAGCTCCTGTCAGCTGTTTAAATGCTGAGGTCTATCTTTAAAACACCCTAAGCTTTCCTGTGATCCCACACGTTGCACAAGAATGACTTTTAAAGTGGACCAACTTCTATTAAGCATCTTCCTCTTGTCATGCAACGCACATGTTTCCCTTCATCTTTTCCCAGCTTTTTTAGACCACTCCTTACTTTGCACTTACACAGCATCTCACCATCTTATCTGTCCCTCTTTTGAAACTTAAGACTTCAAAACTCACAGACAGGACAAATGGGCAAGAGAGCTATTGCTTCATGATGTGGAAAGCTGTACTCCTATTTCCATCAAGGAAGGGTCTTCCACTGAGTTCCAGACTCAGGGCAGTGTGCGAGCTGCTTTGCTGATTAAACACCAGGAATACAGCAGTGCTAGGAGCCAGTGCCCATACATAGATAAGGTACCTCTAATAAGCAGCACCCTTCTCTTTGGAGTTACAGAGCTCTTAGCTCTCAATGCAGAATCGGACATTCAACCCACCTCTCTGCAAGCGAATCATTCCTATCCCAGCAGGAAACCCAGCAGAAGCTACTGTCTCCACGGATGCAAGGAAGTATTCATCAGTGTTTTACTCCTATAGCAGGAAATGCACCTCAGCACGCTGCTTTACTACACGAGATATACATATATACATAAGTGCACACATGTATATATGCACATGTAGGTATGCTTTTATATATTTAGCATATATATATATGTAAAATTCTGTTAGATTCAACCTTAGTTCACAAAGGCTCAAACTATATTCTTTTAATTTGTAACTAGATATCTACAGCACTGGCTGCGTTCATCTCAACACCCAGGTCTCCAGCTGGCATCGCTGACAATTTTTTGTAAGCACTGTTTCAGTGGCCCAAATGAAACTTCACTAAAAATTTTTGGGGCACAGGGAGAGAAAGAAATGCTGTTATGCCAACAATGTTGTTATCCCAACAACATCCCTATTTTGTAACTAAGTTAAATATCATTATAGTGTTCTAGCGTATATCAGATCAGTGCCACTGCAGACAGTGCATAACATACTAGAAAGTTACTGAGTGTATATCCACAAGCCAGAATATTGTATTTTAAGAAGAAAAATGTTAAGATAGTACTGGGGTTCAAAACTACTGAACTTGATCGAGGTTAATATGTGCGTATGAATACTGGCTTCTTGTTTTAAACAAATACATACATTCTCTTAAAGATAAATAAGAGTCTTCACGTCATTAGTGAATTCCACATATAAATACAATTTCGATTCCACTGCAGGGGATTTCTGAATGTTTGTATTAGGTGCACAGGGGAGGGTTTATTTCCATGCAAAAGAAAAACACCTTTTCAAATGCAGAGTAAAGCTCTCAAATGGTGGAAAGGAAATGCCTTAAAAGCTACCTTGTTTCCTTCTAGCAAGGAGGAGGGGAAAAAAAAAGAAAAAAAAAAATCACACATACGCAGACCACATGCAATATGGGAACATAAAGTTCTTATTGTGAAACTGCTGTCAGGTCAGGCACTTTATCAAGAACTACAACAGAGTAAGCATGACAGCCTGTCTGAATGCAGAAAAGGGCCCTTCTAACTCTGTATGGTTTAAATCCCAACATCAATTCAAGCTCAGTTAAAAGACTCAAAATTAGACGACGAAAACTCAGTGAACTCACAGTTCTGAGCTTCCCTTTCTCTACCATCAACAGTTACAGACTATTTAAATATTGCATATTCGGTATGTTTATTAGTGCCACAAGCTTCTGTTAAAAAGAAAAAGATTACCTTCTTTAATGGAGTTGATTTTCTCATATCATATAGCACAATATTTCTGTCAGAAGCACAGCTTCCCAAAAGGTATGTCTAAAAGAAAAACAAAACAAAACACACTAGATACCTGAGCTATTTCACAAAGCCGGAAGTCAAATAGTTCCTCTTCCAATCAAGGAAACACATTTGTCATTCTTTCTGTGCAGCTAATTATTCAGTATGAACATTTTAAATAGCTTTCCCTGTAAGATTCAGAATCCATCCAGTCCTCTCTGCTTCACAATAACAAGCAATTCCTCATAAACATTTCATCTACAAACACAGCCCACTCAAGAGGTATATATACGAACTGCTGTGCAAGATCAAATGCAATTGTTTTGCCATGGAAAGGGGGAGAACTCTTGGTCACAGGGAGTACAGTACTGGAACAGATGGGAGCTCCATAGCCACATAACCACTGCATCGTATGATTGAGGTGTGGGATACGTATTGGTGTGGGCATAACGGAGACCAGCCTACTTTTCTTTCTCCTCTCCCCCACTAACAGAGACAAAAGATAAAAAGATGAAAATATATGGTCCTACATTCCAAAGCAACACAGCCACAAAAATACATGTATACAACCCCCGAAATATTATGTTAAAACACATATCAAAATCTAAATTTGGAAAAAGCCATTAAAGATTGTTAATAGACTTTGGATCTTATACCGGTCAAGAAAAATACTTATTTCCAACAGATAAGAAAAACATTACCTCAATGGGATTAAATTTTACACTGCTTATGCTATCAAAACCCCATGTCAGAGAACACATGGGACTTGTCCTTTGCTCATCCCAAATGTCCACTTGATGGCCACAGGTGGCAAAAACAGCTTCCTTCCAGTGGTGATCAATTCCTGTATACACTGTCTTTAAAAAGAAAAAAAAAAAAAAAACACCAACAACCCACAAACAATTTACAAAACCAATTGTATACATAGTATACATAAATATGCAAGTATGTTCTGTTACAAAAAACATCAACAAATCACTGCATATGGAGTCTGCCATGTTTTTATTCCTTTATATTACTGAAAACCAAGTCACCACTGCTACCAGAAACTAAGTCTTATCAGATGTACCCTTACACAATAGATTAGCTTTCTGTGTACTCATTTAATGTGCATGCATGCATTTCTTGTTAATCTACAACGCAGTCGGCATTAGAAGCCGATTTACAAAGTCCTGGCTGACATCAAAGCACATGGGAATTTAAAGCGTACAATTACAAATTTTCGATGGGGACCTGAACAGATTTCACACACACTACAATAATTAAAGAGTGTCAAACTATCTATTTACAAAAGGCATTTAATGTTGTTCTTAAAATAAGCTCATCATAAATTGAAAGTGCTGAAGTATATATTTTTAGTCTGCTTTTGTCAAAAAGAAAGACATAAAGTCAAAATTCCGTATTGAATGGCTGCAAGGTATGGGCATGAAAAAAAAGTTATTCAATGCAGACTAAGCACTGACAATACACGCCTGAAGAGAAAGAGACTACAGAAAGATCTGACCAGTTCACTGGAAAGGGATGATCAATAGAGAGAGATCTAAGCAGTCTCTGACAGCATTTGAGATTTTCCTTTCTGGTTACATGTAAAATAAATGTAATAATAACTTGAAGATACTTTAAAAGTGCCATTATCAAATTTGATGCCCTGACCTTACAAATTGTTATGATAACAGGTGACATCCAACTATTTCTCCATCTTCCAAAAGCTAGATAAGTATTTGCTCAAACCTAATTCAAAAGAAGAGATTTACTACCTTTCCAAGAATTGTATGAATAGGTTCTTCTTCTTCTCCGTATTCCGGGCTCTCCATTTTCCACTGCTTCACAGTTTTGTCATCGCCAACCTGGAAATGTTAGAGAAAGCATGTACAGTTTTACATAAATATATTCTGTTTATTTTACTAGAGGTGCTTTGCCATTAAGTACAGGTAGCCTTTCAAAACAGAATGATCTATGACATACACAGCAGCAAATTGTACGCTCTTGCCTATTCACTGTTCCCTTTTATACCTGCAAGCTGAAGATTAGTTCTCCCCTTGTCACAATATTTTGCCAGAAACTGAGAAGGTACACATACGTCCTTCGGCAGAAATGGAGTTAACATTCTTCATAGCAGCCCATGTGGCACTATTTTGGATTTGTGGCTGAAACAGTGCTGATCAGGCACCAATGTCTTGCCTATTGCTGAACAGAGCTTGCATGGTGTCATGGCATTCCCCCCCCGCCACTACTCTGTCAGTCATCATCCCTGCCTCCCCATCAGCGAGCAGGCTAGGTGTGGGCAAACAGACTGGGAGGGGACACAGGCACGATGGATGACCTGAACTGGCCAAAGCAGTATTCCATACCATATAACGTCATGCTCAATAAGTTTAACTTCCTCTCCTGACAGCACTACTTCTGTTTCTTCTTCCTCTCTCCCAATTTTCAGGCAGAGGGGTTGTCAAAAGGGGATTCTAATTTGGAGTCACTTAGAATTTTCTGCTATAGCTTCTCATACATTCTAATTGCTGTCCTCATGACCTAGTATATATTTCAGAAAATACAAACGCATAATAGTGAAAATAGCTCTTCTATGTCCAGCTTAAAAGAAGCAAAATCTCAGGACAGTCTATGTTTCAAACCAATTCTTTTCATTGTATCATCTTAGAATTGTTTAAACGCAAACAGGAAGACATACTATTTCCAGATGGTTTACATTCAACTGAATCAGTTGTGGTTGATACAAGCTAATAAAGCACTACTATAGCCTTGTTGAACATAATGACTTGACTGGAACCATCTTGAATTAACCAGTTTATCTTTAACCACAGGGTATGAAAATGGTTACTTTTCTAAGTGTATGTCTTTCAATTAACATAAACTATCTACTTCTTCCAGGAACACGATCTTTCTACTTGTTTAATCAAAACTAGTTTGCCCAAGTTTTAATTACATGACCATCCATTAGCAATTTTCCAGTATTTCTCCCTTCCATAGTGTTGAACAACATCCATATCACAGCACAAAAAAAAATACTTCATCAGAAACAGAGCTGTCAGGTTCACTGACAAACTGAATAGATGCATTCACACAGTATTTAAATGTTGTATGCCAGAGGGTAAGCTGCTCACTGGAAAACAGATGCTTAACAGGCACCCTGTACTGCTACACCATACTAAAGAGACACATTATACTTACAGTAAAGAATGATGTACCACAGAAACGAGCACACATGCCTCGAACAAAGCCTTCATGGGCTTGTATAGTACGAATACACTGTCGTTTGGTTAAGTTCCAAATTCTAACCTGTTAAAAACAGAAAAGCATTCTGTTGTTATAAAAATTTTCTACAGCCCACAACTGCAGTTCAAATTCAAGTACAAGAGATCATACATGTTGTAACAAAATGGCGTAGCAGGCTTGAACACTGTCCAGATTTTATCATGTTAAAACTACTTGATTATTCACTTCTTGTGAAAATGTTTTTAAAGCGCAGCTCTTTCCTCTTACCCCTTCCCACCACCCAAGCTGTATACGTACCATATTTTTGTATTCCCCTATTTTTGAACCAGAATTCTTGCTAAAAGACAGCAGCAGTGACTTCAGTAAAAAATACCTCTTCAGAGACAAAAGCACAAGGAAATAGCCCTTGGAACCAAGAGAATGTTTTCAGTCCAGTCACTGTACTATATTTTTTATAGAAGTCCACCTCGCACAGAGGTTTCAGTTTCAAAGCATTTGGGCCCATTTGAAAAACAAAGAAACGGAGGTCAGGTTTTATAGTTGTATGTATTACTTTACAATAATTACTTTACTCAGTCCACCAGTGGATAAGAAATTTGGCCAACATTTCATATAAATTTATTCCCCTCCTCTCCGAAAAGGTTAATTTCATTTACACTACGGCACGACATACGCGCTTCCTATAGAAAGCAGAAACCAACCAGCTACTTAGAAGACACCTTTAAAACCTACAAGTACTATCAAATGAACAATGAAAGGGTGAGAGAGGACAGAGAAGACAGAAAAGACAGGCATTTTTTTTCTCCAGCCAACTCCAATTAAAGTGCCCTTGCTTGCTATTTGTAATAAGTATGTAAAATAATCAAACAAATACAGGGTTAGTATTTTTTAGGTAGTATGATAAATCATTACTCCAAAAACCTTTTGGCTGTGTGCCCCTTCCCTCAGCTCATCTGCCTTCACGTAATCTTCATCTGCAGCAGTTTAACTTCTTCAAGGGGAGGAGGGGGGTCATGTGGGCAGCAAAAATCAGTCACTGTGGACTGTAAATATTAACATTCACTGCTCCATCCCACAGAACTGAATATCACACCCTCTGCTCACAGCTGAACAGCTGAAAGCTGCTGCCTAAAGATTTCCAAAACCGTTTGTGTGCTGGGAGATTACAACCTTCAGTTTGAGAAACACTGTCCCAAACTGGGTAAGTTGCACCTTCTGAGAGAAGACAGGGTATCATAGCTGAACAAACACACAAAACAAAAGTAAGCAGTGGGCATTTAAAAATAAAACAAAATAAAAGCCAACCACAAAACATAAAAGTGGAAAAATAAAAAAGAAAAGAAGAAGGAAAGGTGCCTTGTTTGCTGTGGTTTGTAACTGCAGCTTACCTCTCCATCACAAGCTCCAGACAGCACTGTAGACAAACTCTTTGGATGTTTGGCCATGCAATTAACGCCATCTCTGTGGCCATCAAGGGAGCTAAGAAAGGGTTTTGCAAACACACGTTCTAGCTTTGTTGCATTCAGAGCTCTTACGTACTCTCGTGGAACTTCAAATGGATGCAATGCAGGGTCATAGTTCCTTGGAACTGCAGTAAGAGTAACACAGACATTAGAAACCCATGGTATGTAGCGTACTTCAAAGTAAGCTCAATTCAGAAGCTCTTCTCTTTGATTTTCCTGCCATGGGAGAATTTTCTGCAACACTAAGATTTTCATTGTTCCTACCGTTTTGAAACGGGTCTGTGGGATTGTTAGTATGCTCATTTACCACGCTCTAAGTTAATAAAGCCTGAAATAACTCTGAAATTATTTGATGTCCTTTTCAAGGGTATACTGCTAAACTAATGAGATATGAATGTACACAAAAAAATGGAAGTTGCACGTATCTTGCCACTATTATTTAAAAAACAAAACAAAAACAACCACCACAGAAAAAAAAAAAAACACCAAACCAACAAACCCCACAACACTAACCTCCTAGCACTAAACTCTAACATACACAGAAAGGACACAGCTATATGGACATGCACAAAGAGAGGCAAGCTAGCTCTCTTCATGTTTAGTCAGCTACAAGACAGCCCTGGCTTAGAAATGAGAACTCCTTAGTTTAACTAGCTTGGTCCTCTGCTAAGGCTATCTGGTTTCCCATACTGGAGTGTTCACACACAACAAGCTTCAAGCAAGGGTCTCTGCATCCACCTGCACACATACACCTCACAATAATTTGAGAAAGACAGTGGATATTGACGTTGCACTTCTGGTTTTTGTCTCTTTCATTCTGTTTCATGCAAAAAGGTTGAAAAATCAGTAAGGCAACTGACAACAGAGCACTCATTAAAAACTGATACTTAGTTCAGTCTGCTGGTTTCCAAAGACTATTTGATGCATACCAGAACCTCTAAAAATCTCTGACGAAATGGAGTTGGGTATCGCTCTGTAATCACAGAATGGTCTGGGTTGGAAGGCACCTTATAGATCATCTAGTTCCAACCCCCCTGCCATGAGCAGGCACATCTTCCACTAGACCAGGCTGCTCAAAGCCCCATCCAGCCTGGACTTGAACGCTGCCAGGGAGGGGGCATCCACAGCTTCTCTCGGCAACCTGTGCCAGTGCCTCACCACCCTCAGAGTAAATAATTTCTTTCTTATATCTAATCTAAATCTATCCTCTTTTTGTTTAAAGACATTACTCCTTGTCCTATCACTACATGCCCTTGTAAAAAGTCCCTCTCCAGCTTAACACATCAGAGAATTTGATATAAGAGCTTACACACAAATCACACTTAGAAAATTTAAGACGTATTCAGATACTGCCCCAGTGGGTCACTTCAGCAGCATTCTTTTCATGTTATGCTACCGCAATTAAATAACTAGAGAACGCTAGTTATGGTGCTATTCACGCAACATAGCCACCTACCTCCAATTCAATCAGCTAGTGAAGTACATGCAATTTAAAATACTGTAAGTGTACTGTCCTGCTCGGAAGAGTTTGATTTAGCGCATTCAAGACACCCAGAGTTTTATTCCTGCTCTTTCTCACAAAGTGTGGCCATTTTACAAACTTTATTTCTGACACTAAGCGGAAACTAAACCTCATTTCAGTCACTTTACAGAGGTGAAACCGCACGACTGAGGGTTGTCATCAGCGGCGTTGAGTCTAGTTGGAGGCCGGTAACTAGTGGTGTCCCCCAGGGATCAGTACTGGGCCCAGCCTTGTTTAACTTCTTCGTCAATGACCTGGATGAAGAGTTAGAGTGTACCCTCAGCAAGTTTGCTGATGACACCAAACTGGGAGGTGTGGTAGATACACCAGAAGGCTGTGCTGCCATTCAGCGTGACCTGGATAGGCTGGAAAGTTGGGCAGAGAGGAACCTGATGAGGTTCAACAAAGGCAAATGCAGGGTCCTGCACCTGGGGAGGAACAACCCCATGCATCAGTACAGGCTCGGGTTGGACCTGCTGGAGAGCAGCTCTGTGGAGAGGGACCTGGGTGTCCTGGTGGACGACAGGTTAACCATGAGCCAGCAGTGTGCCCTGGCTGCCAAGAAAGCCAATGGAATCCTGGGGTGCATCAAGAAGAGTGTGGCCAGCAGGACGAGGGAGGTTCTCCTTCCCCTCTACACTGCCCTGGTGAGGCCCCATCTGGAGTACTGTGTCCAGTTCTGGGCTCCCCAGTTCAAGAAAGATGAAGAGCTACTGGAGA